GGGAATAGATGTGTTCCAATTGCCATAACATTTATCAGAATTTTTTGTAGCTTTTCCTATTAGAAATTCTGTTTCGTATTCCATCCCACATGTATACAGATACCTTCCTACAGACGGGGATAACCTAAAGACCCCAAATTTATCAATCACAAAGATCCCATGTCAGAAGAATCACTGTTGGTTTTCTGCAACAGACTAGATCAGTGGTCCCCAACCTTTTATTATTATTATTTATTTGATTTATACCCCACCTATCTGGACTACCAGAACACTCTAGGCAGCTTTTCCCAACCGTGGACCGGTTGGGGAGGGTGGAACACTTACTGGGGGGGGGGCGTGGCACACTTGTGCAGGGGGCATGGCACACTCGCAGAGATGCGGCATGCCTGCAGGGGGACAAGAGTTATGTCTTGCACTTAAGGGGGGGGGGCAAGAGTTGTGTGTCTGCGACCCAGGCTCCTGCCTAGACCGTGAACTGCTGCCGGGTCATGGACTGGAAGTTGGGAACCCCTGGACATCTTGTGGCTGAACTGAGCAAAATTATAGGTATCTGCAGTAGGATGATGTCTGCAGTGTGATGAAATGACATTCTTGATATGCCTGTTCAATTAATGACAGCAAAACCATTTCTAAGCTGTTTCAAAGCTACAGCTGTTCTGGCACAATGTATATGAATATTGAGTTTAGGTTTACAGAGGGATGAAAAAGGCTGTGTTTGTTTCACCCCTCTCAAAAACAAAACCAACTACTATTTGCCTTAACCAGCTTGGTAAATTTAGAATAGCCTTTATTCAAATCTAAGCTTTAAAATGACCTCCCAGATGCTGCTTTATACAGTGTGATGAAATTTTTCTAAAGCTTTTGTCTACATCTGATGAGGGCATCACAAACATGATCCTGAGCTCTTCTTTTCTCTCTGCTAAAAAAGAGTGCATCATCACTGACAGGTATGAAGGCAAACATTTTTCAGCATGCATATCTTTTAGGTCCTTAAATTTCAACTTCAGAAGTTTCAGCAGAAAAGAATGTGGTCCAGACAGTCCTAAAGAAACCTTAACCACGTGATGACTTCTGAGGAAGTTCCAAACCCACAAACACAACTGACTGAAAACTCTGCCAAGCAGCCAGATGCTCCTTCTGGAGAAAATATTACATAGCTTTGAGTCTCAATTTCTGTGTTCTTGATTCAAAAAACACAAACTACATTTACAAGATGTGGACTCAACAACTGTCTGCTTTTAACTGTTGTTGCTTAGGATATCTATTGAGTACATGTTTATTTCAAAAAATTAGATTCTTTTTTGTAAGGTGCTCTTGCTAATAAGTACAGCAACTTAATTTACATATAAAGCTAAAAGCACTGAACAGTAAAAGATTGCTTGGCAGCAGCTTAACCTCTGATCCTTGACAAAGCTACAAGTAAAGCAAAACAGAAATAAAGAGTAAAAAGAGAGAGGAAAAAAGTGGCAGACAAACTTTTATTATCTTTTTCAATGTGAGCTTTCATGGATGAGTCCATTTCATCAGACATAAAAGCTCATATTAAAAAACATAAAATTATCCTTTAAGGAGCCACCATGTTTTTATCTTCTTTTTTACTTTTTTTTCCTATTTTGCCCTGACAAAACTAGGGACACCTGCCAAAAAGCCATCATAGCCTCATAGGCATCCTTCAGTCTCGAGAGACTATGGTGACATGCTCTGAACTGAGGAGTGTCCTCTCCAGAGCATGAAGCCCGGGTAAGGTAATATGGAGGATAGGCTGTTACCCAACCAGCAGATCCCCCCTCTCCACATTGCTGAAATGGTCCAATGGAAAGGCAAGAGCCAATACAACTGGTTCCAGCAATGTCGCAGGAGTTGGCAGAATGACACGAGCTGCCTTCGGGACTCCATCTCCGGATTTTGCCTTTAGGTTAACTCCTGAAGCCTCTTCCATGAGTGGATATAGCCACAAGGCAGTGGAGGTTTGAAATTGAAGTTTTCCTTCTCCTAGATGGGCTGCCTTCCATGGCTGACGAGCCCCACCTACCCGGCTAAAAGCCAATGCAACAGCTAATAAAGAGTGGCAATGAACTAGATGCCACTACCTAAATGTCCCAATATACAATGGGGCAACACTTTCAAAAATCCCATTCAACCTCTTAATTACCAACCAATCTCTTGCCTTAGTAAGCGGAAGCATTATTTCAGCTGTAAGCAAACAAGTAAAAGAGCCAATCAACCAATCACAAATTGGAATAAGAAGAATAGTTTGCTTAACTGTAGTTACGTTTCCTCCAAGTGGTCATCTGTGAAGGCACACAAATGGGTATTGCCCATCCTTGAGAGGAAGATGGGAAGTCAGTGTGAGTTGTCAGATGACCCCTCAAAGAACTACGGTTACAGGTACACAGCCTGTTTTTCTTTGTGGTCCCTATGACTCAACACATATGAGAAATCAGCACGCTCACTTGAAAGGAAAAAGGAAGGGATGACACATCAGGACAAGGAGGTCAAAACGGCTCTTCTGAACCATCCTCTCACAATCTGCTTGACAAACAAGTCGAAGTGTTTGACTAGGTGCCCACACAGCAGATTTTGGACACCAGTACTCTTCTTAAGAAGGCTACAGAAGAACCTGTCATCTTGCAGACTGACAGCTCCAACAAGAAGCAGCAATTTGGCTAACTGCTAACAGAGAGTAAGAGCAGATACCACCTACTTAGAAAAATGTTGTATCAAAATAGGATGGTCTGTCATTCATAATGATCAGATAAAAAAGAAGTTTAATGAAAATTCTTGTGTTTTGTCAAGCCAGTGCCTAACATCCGAAGGATATAAAGTCCTTTCTAAAAGTAAAGAAGGCTAAATTAAGTTGAGGTCTTGAGACACAGAAGCTCTAACAGTATCACCTCATCTTTTTTTTTTTAAAATAGAACAAGTAAGAGAAGTCACACCTTAGAGTGCCTAATTCTCTGGACCTCAGAGACAAGGTGACTACAAACAGGTAAGCCACCTTGAGGTTAAGTAAATATAGGTCAGCTATTTCTAAAGGTGCTAAAGTTTTCCTTGTGTCAACTGCAGAAACACAAGGAAAAGGCTCCAAGGAGGAATTAGGATTCTTTGAAGGAAGAAATTATCTTTCAGCCTTTTCAGGAAGTGATGGATGAGTAGATTCATGACCAAAAGAGCTTCTGAGTGGTAATGCCAGAAATACTTAAAGAGCTGCCAGATATACTTTCAATGAACTGTACACCATCCCTCAGGTGGGCAACGAGTTATATTACATCCAATGTGAATGTAGCGTCTCATGTGTGGAGAGTAGGTCAGCTTTTCTTAGGCCGCCCATGTCTAGGGAAAAATAATGGAGGAAAATCAAAGTGTGCTCTGCAAAATTCTCTGGGCTGTTTACAAGTTAATTACACATTGTCTCCTCCCCCTAGTGAGCTGGGTACTCATTTTACCGACCTCAGAAGGCTAGAAGGCTGAGCTGGCTACCTGAGATGAACTCAGGGTCATGAGCACAGTGTTGGCTGCAGTGTCTCGCTATGAGGAACCATTGTTGTGAAGATTTTATGTATAGGTGCACATTAGAAATGGCTGCAGCCATGTACAGAATTAAAATTTGAACTTGGTAAGTTGAAATTGAAGTAGTTCTAACCATCATGGCTATCAGGTACGGCAATACAACACTCTGTCTTCAGGGAGAAAACTCAAACCACAATGACATCCAATATTACTGTTATGACCAGAATGTTTTTGAGTTTATACCAGGTTTGATTTTTGTGGCTGGCTGCACACCAAGTTCCTGAAGGACAGCCAAGTTCATTTGTAGATTCTTTAAACAACAAGTCTGGGAAGAACCTAGCAGGAGCCAGTCTATTTATAAAGGGACTGAGTCTTTGTATTCTGAAACAGTGGCTACCATAGTCATGGACTTTATGTATACTCCCAGTGCTGCTAAAAGCCCAAAGAGCAAGGATCTTGCATTGGTATGACTGGTTGTTTAGAATGACTCTGAGGAATTTTCTGTAGAAAGGAAAGCTATAGAGGTGTGGAAGTCAATGTTGTGGAGATGGATAACCATGAACCAACTGCCCCTGCTGGAAAAAAAAAGATATGATAGATAACATGGCTATTATTTGTAACTTCTATGTGTGCAGGAGTTGATATCCTTAAGATAAGTGACCCCCATCCTTTTGTGGAACTGCATGATTTTGAGAATAGCACCTGTTGCTCTGCTCTTCTGGTGGACCTGAGAATTTGAAAGAATGATGAGGACGTAAACCTTGGATTCCAAAAACATTCTGTGCAGGTAAGGGAATTTCCATATGTGTGAGTCACAGAGAATTTCAAGGATTAGAAAGAATAGCAGTGGAAGTAGGGGTGGTTGATTTAGGATACCAGTCACTGTAATATCCCGAAAGACTTGAGATCCCATACTTTCCATTTTAGATATTCACTGTCACAGGCCCAAGATAACCACACCATACAAATTGAACAGGTTGCAAAATGAATGCTTTGCTCAACACCACTAAGAAAAGACATGGGGTTTGCACTGCTCAAATTATACATATGAAGAGAGAAATGCAGTAAAATGGATGATGTCCTCCCTCCTTTTGTTTCCCCTTTCCTGACTTTGATTTCACTCTGCCACCACAGGCAGGGCATGCTCTATGTTAAACTTCCTTCTTATCAAGATCAAGGAGCCTATATATTCCTAAGAGAAATAAGAGAAGTAATGATACTGGGATATCCATGTTTTGTACATCTGTAGAAATGCAGTACATCCGATAAAGTTTATTGATGTTGGAAGCAAGACAGCCTAGGGTGTTGGTGTTTCAGTTCAAGCCCCAAACGCTTTGATCTCACCACCCACAACACCACCAATCCCTCCTCTTCCTTAAAAAAGCTACTCGGAGCACCAAGATTTTAACAACTTGCAGAAAAAAAATCATACGATACTGTACTTCTGTTAGTAATAGCTAGTTTTCTAAGACCTTGGCAGGAACATGTACCTGGGTAAAGGTCCTTCTCAATAAGTTTCATCTGGAGATGGAAGATCTGTTCCTGGAGTTTGCAGATGGAGTGTTTCATTTTCTCTCGCCGTGTGACCATGTAACAAAGATTTCTAACCTGCAAAAGAGAGCAAGAGTTTCAATTTCACAACAAATTGTCAAGAAACTCAATGGTTGCTCAGCTCTCTCGTTTGCTGCCTTATTGTCTCTCTGCTTATCTCTGCCCTGTTGTTTAACTTTGTTATGTTTTCCCAATGTGCATCTGATTATTCTAGGTGTGTAGTTCAGAGGCACTTTGTATAACATTTTTAAAAAAAAAACAGGCTAGAAGCCACAAATGCCCTGTCATGTTGACAGTTTTGACTATGACCTGAAATAGAGTAATGCTAACAAGGCCATAAATTTTTATTTGAATATCAACAAATGCTGTTTGGTGCCTACTTCATAAGCTTCTATATTTCAAAGCAGCAACTGCTCACAAACAGATGATGCCCCAAATATGTTGCCTCATGCTCCTTCTGGTGTTTGAAACCCTCCATGCTGCATATCCACAACCTATAATGTTCTTCTCTATGTGGCAGCTGGAACTCTGGTGGAAAGATGATGGCAGATGTGATGTATACATTTTATTTCAAAAGAAATGCTGTTGGGCATTAAACGGTGTCCTCATATTCAAACGTATGTTTTAAAACAGAAGTGCTGAAAGTGAGCAAGGAAAGATATTCAAACATATAAACTCTGACACCAGGAGCCTCGTGGCCTAGTGGCTACATTGCACTAATGCAGTCAAAATCTCTGCTCACAACCTATGTTCAATCCCAACATACTCAGGCCGCCAATTCAAAGGCTGACTCAGCCTCTTATCCTTCCAAATTGAGTACCCTGCTCGCTGGGGAGGAGGGAATGTGTCGCCTACATAATTAAATTGCAAACTACCCAGAGAGTGCTTTGGGCCAGTATATAAAGCAGCACACTTTGCTTGGCCTGTGAATGGAGACCCCTGTTCAAATCTTCACTTGTTCAGCATGAAGATGAGAAGAGGCTTTACAAGCATATTTGACTGAATGTACTTAGGAACTTTGGCAAAAACATGAGCTCCTGTTTGCGCTAAACTTCAGATGCACGTTCAATTGAATACATGAGAGGTATAAAGAGTGTGTGATGGGGTGCGGACAAGGCTTCCATGTGCCCTCCTGTTACACATTTTAGCCCCTGTGTGCTCACAAAAAAAAGGTCTGGAAAGGATTTATGTGTTTTCTCCAGGGCAACTTTGTACTTTATTGTAACTTTAAGCAGAGGAAAGATTGAATGACTTCTACACAGAACGTATTTCACAACCCATATCTCATTTTTTTTCTAGCCACGGTTTCTGGACGTAGTTCACTGTGCCCGTTCTAAAAGGGACAAACCACCCTAGTACATTCTCCTGTGCAAGTTCCACTGGAACAACCGAGGATTGTGCAAGAGAACTTTGCAATGGAGTCTTCTCAAGGAAATGGAATCTGAGAAACTGTCAGCAATCTTTCCAAATTTCTGCACGTGGAACATTGCTCTATACACATTAGAAAAATCTATCCTACTCTGCTAATGTATATTACACATTGGAGAGAGTAACAACACTACTGTACAGAATCTCATGATAAAACAAGCAACATAAAACACAATACAAGTATCACAATACAAGTATCTGCTTGGCAAGGCAGGTTTTTCAGAAATCTCATTATCAAACAGCAGACAGCAAGGGAACCCAGAATTTAATACAGTGATTTTTTTTAAAAAACTACATTTGTCAGAATCTCCTAGCTATTGTGGATTCCTTGCAATTCTGCCTATGAGACTCTGGGAACGGTACCCCACTTTTTCAACCTGTGCCAGGAAATTCCTCAAAGATATTCCACCAGGGTGTGGTTTGAGAAGGCTTGTTTTTTTCTTGTTCCAAATTATTCTCTTCCATCACAGCTGGAATGCAAATAAAGGACTCTATGCCAGTTTTTAATAATAATTACATGTTATCAAATCAATTCTGGCTTATGGCAACATTTTCCAGGGTTTTCCAGGTATAGAGCATTCAGAAATTGCTGATTATTCCCTCTTTTTGAGAGTGCTCTGGAACTGTGCACATCAGGTCACATAATCAGGCTCTTCTTCTACAAGGCACAGTAAGGAATCAGACTCCCAAGATTCTGGGAGCCCCACCTCACTGAGGCTTGACTAAATCTTTTAACACAATTCTTAATCAGGAAAATTCCTTTCTCATATAACTGCTTTTCTCTCCAGACTGGTTTTCCTCAGATCCAGCCTTCAACTTGAAATAAGTAGCTCAGAATCTCAAGGCATCCCTCCATCTCAGGATGAAGATGTTTAATGATAACTCTCTAGAAGAGGAATACCATATCTCCCCCAAGAAGCATGACTGTCAGAAGTACGCTAGGACCATGCAGACAAAAAACATGGTTTGGGCAGTGAGGATAATTACATAGGGACCATGATGGACCTACAGCCTCCCAGATGTTGGTCTTATAACTGCTGAGCTGGAACGGACCCTAGGGATCATCACGTCTGTAACAGCCACCCTCAAACCTCAAAGAGTGGTTGCTACTTCACTTTAAACTCTGCTGCCACCAACTTATCATTGAAAATCAAGCGAAGGACAAGTGTAACTTTGAAAAACAAAAACTGGTTTATTGATTACAGGAAATAAAAATAGTAAATCACTGGTAAAGAATCAATAAGTCAATCACTGTAAATAAATCACTGGCTCTCCCAGACTATTTCACACTGACAGGCTCTCTCACTCACTATAACTAACAATCACTTTAAAGCCTCAGCTCAAACTCTCATCTCTCATCTCTCAATCTGCCCTCACACACTCTTCACCCCCTTTTTATACTAGCTCCTCCCCTTAAGTTCCACCCTCCGTCACACCATTGGCTGATGACTCACAGCCCAGCTGTGACGGACAGGTGATGTTTTGGCTGCCCGTTACAACGTCCAGCCCTTCTCAAGGAGGCAGAGTGTGTGTGTGGGGGGAATCAAACCCCGAACCAATGGCTCTGCAACCAGAGATCTAGATCGCTGAGCTGCTACCAAGAAGACATAACTATTCCCACCATCACTGGTCAGGCTGAGAAGAACTGAGGAGAATAAAAAGTCCAACAATATCTACAGAGCCTTAGATTCCCTAGGCCAGAGTTAGATGGGAAGTTGCGCTGAAAGCGTCCGAGGGCACAAGAATGTCAGAGAAGAGAGGAAATAAGAGGAAGATTGCAATAACCTCCTCTTCAGCTGGGAGTTTACAAAGACCCTTAGCAAGCATTAAGACTCGAAGACCAATCATTTAAAAGATAACTGACCTTACTTCTTTAATCTTTCAGTATTTACTGACAAATTATTTAATAGTAACTGCTGCTCTTCTAAAGAAACATTTCAGTCTGAACCTACTTCTTATTTCATTTCATACTCCCTATGACACCCCTGTGACAGAGGTATCAATAAGAAGGGATGTAAATCCTGACTTGTTTAAATCCTTGCAGGCAAGGACAAGAAGTGGCAACATTTTCCTTCTTTTCAACTTGAGTCAGCAAGGACGAAGATTTCTTGCCTTGCAAGGATGAGTTTGTTTGCATAAATTTTTTTTGTTTGTGTAACATTTTCAATTTTTGTTCAAAATTGTTCAACTACACAACTATGTGAGGTGCCCACAACGAGGATGCCTGCTGTTTTAAGAATCAGGAAAACTAGAAGGACTGCATTTTTCCTAACAAGCAGTCAGTCTTTTATGTTCACACAGACCCAAATCCTGTTGCTCACCATAATAAATTGCACTAGAATAGGCCACAAAGAGTCGGACATGACTTAACGACAACAGGCCCACTCAACCAATGGGGATTTGGTCAATCAACGCCTCTGAAAGTTCCTTTGATTCAAATTAGCCTACTCTAACTTCAACTTAAGCTGCAGTTAGAGTAGGCCCAACTGAATCAATGAAACTTAAGGAGGAGCTGATAATCCCCACTGATTGAGTGGGCCTACCCTTGTGCAATTTACTGTGCTAAGCAACAGGACTTTGGCCATTGGATGTGTTCCTTGAAAAGGACAGTAGGGAGATTGTATGCACATTACAGAGACCTAGGGTTTTATGCAAATCACAAAGACCCAGAGACCACTGTAGCACAGTAAAAAATAAGAAGAAACCGCTGGATAGTTCAGTGGTTTAGGTATCTGCCTACGGAGCCAGAGGTTAGTTGTTTCATTCTCAGCTGGGCAGAGAAGCTTGTGAGATTTTAAAACATCTCTCCAAGACAGTATAAATTGATGATAACAAGGAATTTTGTGAGTGTTCTTTCTATCCCTATGACTCAGACACAATGACACCTTTGGCCATTAAGTGAATGTGTGAAAGCTAATCAGCCCTTTGAATTCAGATTTTCAGCAACCAGACCTGAAATCTGAAATTGTCACAACACAATACTTCCAATGGGCAAAACACTTTGACATCACTTAGTGACATTTTCTTTTCCTATAGTCAAGCCATAGCTTTGTGGTAGTGGTCCTTCCACAGTGGGTGTGAACATGCCACTAGGGATGGGAATCAGCTTTAAAATCACAACAGCCATAGGTAGACTTAATACAATTCAAACATACTTGAGTTCAGGTGTTAATGCCTATAAAATAACTCTACTATGAAAGGCTGTAATGCAACTTTATGTCCCATTACTTTTTAAGGAACTCTGGTGCAAGTGGAATTCTACCAAATGGCAAGCAAACTAAAAGGCAAAGACACAGTATGTCCGAATAACTTCAGACTATGCTGTATGCAATCTAGGGATCTGACTGATTTACAAAGGTCATAAAGGCACATTATCTAAAATATGCTGACACAGTACAGGTAGCAATATTTGAGAAGAAGAAACTGGAGAAGTGCCTGTAATAGCATAAATGACTTTGGTTGCTAAATAATTGCTTTTATGTTCGTAAAACATTTAATTTTTATTTTCCTACACAAAAGAACAAGTAGGAATGAAACACCAAAGACACAACTCGTGATTGAATGCAGATGTTTTACAATGCCAAATATATTCTATCTGGATTTAAACAGTATACATTTGAAGAAGAATA